GTTTCATAACGACTTTATTTTTGCTCTGCTTTCCATTGTTTCAAACATGCTTGGTTATGCAAAGGCATTTTTTAATTAATTTAATTTTTTAATAACCAGAGACATGTTGTTTGTTGCTCTTCTCATTCACTCTTTGGTGTCTTTAGTACTTTTTTCCAAAGAAAAATGTAATTTGTTCACCTCTCTTGGCAATACTGATTTGCCAGTTTTTAATTTGAGTATTTTTCTCACGGCTTTGGGGACCTTCTCAGTTTCCTAAAGCTGAAAACGAGAGGGTGGGAGAGTATAGCTCAAGCAGTAGAGCACATGCTTAGCATACACGAGGTCCTGGGTTCAATCCCCAGTACCTCCTCTAAAAAATAAACAAATAAACAAACCTAATTACCTCCCCCAGCCAAAAAAAAAAGAAAGAAAGAAAATGAGGGCTGCCTACACTCATGCCCAGTACAAGATATTTTTTTGCTTCTAAATACTTCCTGAATTAAACCCTTTCCATTTATTCCTATTCTCACAATCTATTCTAGATGGCAATCTCAGCATCTCATTTGGCACAGCATCCTGATGGTTCACTCTTAGCCTCTCTTCCCTTCAGTCTGCTCTGCCTTATGCTGCAGGAAGTATCATCCTGGAACAATAGTCTTACCATGTCTTTGGCACGCATGAAGTCTAGACTCTTCCCTACTGTCCTTTAACATTATCTGGTCAAACTTATCTGCCCAGGTTTTCCAAGTGAAGCCCTTAACTCTGGTCATCTGGTTCCTACATGCTTCTCTTTCTCTACAATTGGAATGCCTTTCTCATCCCCTTGCTAATCCACAGACCTCACACTATCTATCAGAACTCCACAGTGATTTCTCCTTTTCCTGAGTTCTAATAGCAACATTCAGTCACTTATTCACCATGCGAATCAACCTTTATTTGCAAGGCATTCTGGGCATACAGTGGTGAGTAAAGCTATTATGATCTCTGCTCCTTAATGGAGCCTTATATGCTGTAGTAGCATGATGTCTAATTATTTTTTCAGATAGATGAATCAACCACTCAGTTGGCTTGGAAACTTCTTATTGGCAGGGACTCTCGTGTTATATAGTCTCACCAGTGCCCATCAGATTAGGGTAGACAGAGTTAGCTGTTGCCTTGTAAATAGGAGGCCAAGTCACTGCATTGGGATTTCCTGCAGGAATTCTATTATGCAAAACTACCTCTGTGAGACTAAAAAGCCCAAGACTTAACTCAAAAAAATCTACATACAAATCCTCTCTTTTATGACTGGGCCTGTGTCTGTGATTTTTCAGAGAGATTTTCATTTAAGTACGTAATTCTACATTTCCCTCTAGTAATAACTGCCTCAGGTGTTAAGAGATCTAACACAGAAGGCCTCAATTCTTTACTGAAAAAAAAAAAAGGCCAAAACAAAGGAGAAGAAATGATCTCTGTAGTTTCTATAAGAATTGTGATTTTTTTAAAGATTATGGCAACAGTAGAAAGATAAATAAATCACAAAAAGAACACCACTGCCACACACGTAAGAAATACTTAGTTATCAAATCTAATTAGAAGACAAACACAGGCTGAAAACACCACCTTAAAGTGGAATTCGAGTTATCAAGTCATCTCTGGATTAGAAAAATGATCAACCAAATCTTACTCATGTAAAGGACACGTTTCTTTGCCAAAATTCAGGATAAAAAGTAGCAATTTTGAATACAATTTGCCAAGAACAATTTCACTGTCAACTGATACCTTTGCCATTCCCAGAAGCGCTAATCTGCAACACTGTAAATCCCTAGAAAGGCCTGCAGGGCCACTCAAGATTCCTGAGCTTTGCTTTCAAACCAATGGCTCCCATGAGGTTCTACTTTGAAGAGACATATCTAGAGACTTTTAATCTGGGGGTCATTTAATTTAATCAACAATCTCTTTTGCCAAACCCAAGGTTCTTAACCTGGGGTCAGTGGAGCCTCTAAGGAGACCAGGCATGGAAATCAGGGGTTCCATGAATCCTGAGAGGAGAAAAAAAATTTTGGTTTCACTAAGTTCTAACTGAAATGTAGGTAATAAAATCAGAGTAGTATTAGTAGTCCCTGGGACTCTTTCACGCATATAAATCACAAATATTTTCCTATAGTTGTTACAAATAGTTCAAAATATCATCACTGCTTCAAAATCATGGTAGTTATTAGAACTGCCACTAGATCTTGTTATTTAACATGTTAATAAAGGAGCATATATGTTGTTATTCCACTCATTTGGTTTTTAAAATATTTTGATATCTTTCAATATAATTGACTGCCTTTGTAATCATAAATATTCTTTTTTATACATTAAAAACCTTATATTGACAAAGGGTCCATAGATCTGTAGGTATCTGTGACACAAAAAAGTTTAAGAACTCCTTGCTCAACTCTCATTTTTGGTTATTTGTTAACTGATCACATGCACTTAAACTGAACAATAGACTTGGACCAGATTTGAATAGATTTGAATAGGCGTGATTTTGTAAATAATAGTTTCATTATTTTAGCTAAAGGAAGACTGATTTCTATATAGACCTTAAAGATAGGTTAGAAAGAACAGTCTGCAAATGAGTGGCAACATGTGTGAGGAACAGAAACTACATCAGAGGCTGTCAACCTCACTGGAGCTGACAGATTACATATGGCATCACCACCATGACCAAAATGAGGGTGCAGATGCAATATGAGGTCCCCCAAACGGTTGGAATCAGTTGTATGCCTCACTTTTGTTAGGTCAGTAACTGTTTCATTAAATGGAAGAAGATAATACAAATTTCTTAAGAATAATTCATATGTAATTATTATTTGAGGAAGTAGTAGCAGTACTAACTATATATATATATATATATAAATGTATATATATAAAAGCTTCTACCTTATCCTTGCTGATTTTAATCAACAAAAATCACCCTCAATATAGTATTGTTACACGTACGTTCTCATGAAATTGTCACACCTCTAAGAGGAAAGAGCAGATAGGATTACATTCATGTTACAGATAACAAAAACTGAGGTTCAGGAAAGCCCTTCAGTTGGTCAAGGTTAAAAAAAGATAAAATTATAATCTCCATTTGACAGATGTGGAAACAATCTCTGAGAGGTTAGGGAAGTTGCAGTTAAGTGTCAGGGCCAGGATTCAAATCCAATTTGGTCAGATTCCAAAACCTTGTATATTTTCCATTGTGTCAAGCTGCCTGCCTCACTACTCCTTTCTCCAAATTAGAGAGCTGAAGGGTCGTTAGAAATGACAACCTCCAAGAAAATTGTACTTTACTCAGTTGAGTCACAGGGATATACTTCAGGAAGAGGAAGACAAAGCATTTCCAAAACTTTGGCATAGCTCTTGTTAACTCAAGGACCCCAGAAGAAGGGAGGTGTCTTTGGGATGTTAGTGCTGCTTCCTCCTTCAGAGACCTGCCCACCCAGCCACAGGCGAATCCAGGAGGCTTCCCTCACTGTTCTGTTGAATCCCACAGACACAGCCATTACCAGACGGGAACGTGTGTTCTGAGTCAAATAATTCGCTATGGAATGGGGACCATTTTATCATATAGATGTGTTTTTTCAAATTTTGGAAATAAATCTGGTAATTGGTCAAAGCTTGCATACCTAATTTCCCATTTATGTGAAGGTAAACTTTGTTAGTCATTTGTGGGCTTTTGAGGGACAACGAGGCATTTTCTTCCTCGCTTTTATTCCTTTTGCTTTCTAACTTGCTGTTAAACTGTTGCACATCACAAACCAAGAGCATGTTGTTAATTCCATTACAAGAGCAGGCAGTAGTGGGAGTTCTTGCACTTTTAAAAAATGCCAGGCTTAGGAAGGTTTGGAAGATTGTCCAAGTGTCCTCAAACTTGCACAACAGTACAGGCTTGTCCTAAATACCCCCACCCCCTTTTTTCTGGAAGCTCTAATTTTGGTCATGGTGGTAATGCCATATTTAATCCGTTTCAACTCCAGTGAGACTGATAGCCTCTGATGTAGTTTTTATTTCTCTCATATTTGCCCACTCATTTACAGACTGTTTTTCTTAACCCATTTGTAAGCTCTGTATATCAATCAATCTTTCTTTAGCTATAATAATAAAACTGTTACTAACAAAATCATGCACATTCAAATTTATTTTTTCAAACCATTTGCTTATCATGTCCATTTTAAGAGTCTGTTATGTATAACTTTGCCTCCTTTCTGCCCCAAATCTTCAATCTCATGTAACAGTTAATCGCCATTTATATGTTTACAAAGGGTTTGTCCCTTCTAGACATTTTGCACATTATTTGGGTGCTCCAAAGATGAAACCTAAAGGCAACAATAACACAATCTCTGAAACTTGGAATTCAAACACAAACTAACTTCTAAACAACACGAATGCACAAAACTCCCCTTCCCCCAAAGCTTTATCCCAATTAGCTTTCTTAAAAATCTAGGCAAATCTTTCATTATTTTCATTGAAATGTGATTATGAATTATCTGATATACTACTGCAATCTCCTTCACTTGGCAGGGAGAGAATTAACAATAAAGTTTGAGTCTTGAATATCTGCAAGGAGAAAAGATTAATTTATAGTTTTACTTTTCTTTGTCACAGTGGCTTAAGAAAGATGTGAGAAAACAACTAAAGAATAATCACTTTCCTTCCTCTCTTCGCTGCCCTATCTTTCAGGCACTTCCACAATTTACAAAATCTTAGTCTGGCTTATTGCAGAAAGTTCACAGACAAAGGTTTACAGTACCTGAATCTGGGGAATGGATGCCACAAGCTCATCTATCTGGACCTTTCCGGCTGCACCCAGGTTTGTCTTTCAGTCTTCCCCTTCCTGCAGCAGGCGAAGAAGTCCTCCAGAGAACGGGCTACATCCAGCCCTCATGCTATACTAACGCTGTGCACGGACTGCAGCACACTTTTTAGAGGTTTTAAATTACATGGCCACAGCTGCTTAAATTTTCCCCAGGATCGCTACTATAGGCTCCTGGCTTCCTTCCACTGGAGTGTCACATCCACTGACAGGCAGAGTTCACTGGACGAGGAAGCAGACCACTTCTGTGTAGATACTCTGAGCACAGTTGTAATACCAGAGTCCAAATCTTGAAAACTTTAGAATTGCTACCAAGACACAAACAAAGGAAAACACTTTGAGGGGAGAAGTTGCAAGGAACTTCCTGGAAAGTCAATTCGCTCCCACATGGGCTTTCAAAGAGTAAACAGTACTTGGAATAAATGCCACAAGTGATAAATGTAAGAAAGGAAATACAACAAATAATATGATTTTTAAAATTGCATTATATTCTTGGGCTAAATGACATGAAGATTTGAGGTCTCCATGGGGAAATATTTAAGTGTGAAGGAACAAGACTAAGGAAAACTGGGCAGAAAATAGTGTGGAATTGTGGAGGGTAGGGCATGGCACCCTGGATGCAGTTATGCCTCCTTGACAGTTTCTTCTGCTCTCTTTTGTTACACTTAAGTCATGATTCTTTTAACCTCTTTTCTTCCACCTCCATGTGTATTTTATTGATATCAGTGTCCTAGTATGTTCATCATTCTGTGGGAATTATATAACAACGCAGATGAGAACTGTTACTATATGCCAGGCACCATGTTGAGTGTTTTACACAGATCAGATTTACCTCTCACACAAATGCTGTGCAGTACATATCTATTACGCCCATTTAGACAAGAAGGGACGAAGGCTCTCAAGGCTGTACAGGTGGTGGAAGCACTGTGAAAGGACTGGTTCAGTTATAAGCAGGCAGATTTTCTGGAAGGAATGTAGGACAGCACAAGTTTCTCCTCCAAGTGCCTGAATGGACAGAATTCTTACTTAGCCAACACCACTGGCACACTGTGGCTTCCTGGTGTACTAGGCAGTAGAGAGGATGTAGGGGGAAAAGCTGGGGGACTTGAAGCTAGGGCTGAAATGGTGAGAACGTGCAATTGTTTAACATAGATCTACTGACGTGCAGCTTGTTAAGCATCAACATCTACCATCACACGATGACCAGGATGGCCTTAATGTTCCCTCCAGACTCAACTTTAGACAGGCTTCTTCCTGACCCTGGGCCCCCGACCTCTCTTTTCTTAGAGCATTTGCTTTAGAAAACTGGTGGTTGTACATTTTTCCTCTGCTCCCTTTGAGATATAAACCTCTTAAAAAGGTTTTTTGCCAGTTTTACAGCCCAGGAATATCTTCCTCAAGGACATGGGTGCCAGCCTTTGGTACGTAATCATCAGGAGAGATAGCACCAGTGTCTCCTGGTCTCTGTGGGAGGAGAGGAGCCTAACTTCGATATGGATGCCAATAAGTAAACAAAGATGGCCTAATCACAGAGGAAGAATATTTGCAAATTCAGAAATAACTCAGTGTGCTGGACACATTCCATGGATCAATCTCCCCACTACAGATACCTCCTTTAGTACTTTTACTTTTACACCAGCCCACCACAGTGCTTCAAAACCCTCCCCACTGTGTGTGATTACCTCCTTGTTCTTCTTAATTTCCACCAGGTAATTACTGTGGCAGTAACACACAGCACATGCACAGACACACAAACACACATACATCTGTCTTAAGGATAAACATTTTTGGTCACAGTCAATCAAAATGAGAGGTTTCAAATTGATGACCCTCTGGACAGACCTGTGTGCAAAACATACATAGCCTATTTTAAAATTTTGAGCTAACATTTAAAATTGTGGAGTTTTCAAATAAAAATCTAGACTTCAAGCTTCTCTTAAAAAAACAGAAGAACTAGCAAAATTGGGCCTGCATTTCCACATGGCAACAACAGGCTGGAGCAAGTCAGCCTCACCTAGTGGAAACTGTACCATCTGAAACGTTGTAAGAAATGGGCTTATTATGAACCAGATATCTTAACAATGGCTGCTGCTGTAGCTTCACAAACATTCAGTGAATCTTGGATGCTACTGCTTCTGAGGGACTTATTAAGTCCTCTGAGGAGGTGCATCTATCTCCACAGCTCTGGGTATGAGGATCGTTTTACCCTTTCAGGACTAGTTGCATTGATATGACAACATAAAAACGGTTTCAAAGAAGGAAAATTCTCTATTCACAGATTTTTTTCAGTTCTCTCCTTAGAAAGTAAAATCTGTTATTTTTTTTTAATATGTTTCGAATTTTGCACTATGAAGTCATGTGTTAATACATCTGACCAAAGAAAAAGTTCCTAATAAAACAAAAAGGGTTGAGAATAGAAGCCTACAACTAAATGCTTTTCGTGGGTGTTTATTGAGTACCTGTTGCATACTGGGTGCCATGATGAGTAAAACAGCAGCCCTGTCTTCTAGGAGTTCTGACTTAACATAAACAAAATACATCAAGGGCTAAATAGTCATGCAGTCATGGCTGCCCCAAAAAGGAAAAAGATGTATTTACATAATATTGTATAAGAATTTTAACCATAATTGTTAGAAAACATAAATAAGTGGATGATGAACTACAAAGAAAAGTGAAAACCAATTACATATGTTTTAGAAATATTCTGCATTCTTACGGGATTGGATAAATACTATAGGTGAGTTTAGTAATATGGCTGATTTTCTAATGAAAACCAGCACTTGCACATGCACTTGCATGTCATCATCTTTGATGTGGCTGAAGTGATGCCCCTGTCCAGTTTCTCCCCCTCAAAAAAGCCTCTGCTCACATTTGGCCTGAGTCAGGATAGGGCCGTTCCAGGGAGCTCTCACTGTCCACTGCTAATCTCTAACCATATACTTGCCACTTGGAGTTTTCTTTTTCACTTTAAAAAAAAAATCTGTTTTTTCTTGTTACATGTTAAATGCAGAAAAAGACAAGAAAAAAGGAGAAAAGATTTAAATTACCTAAAAATTCACCACGAAGAAATAATAAACACTACTATTGTTTCACGGAAAAGCTTTCTGGCCTTTATTCTATGCATGTTTAAACTGAAATGGATTATATAGTACACATATCTTTCATTTAATATTTATAAAGTGAGTATCTCTTTATTCCATGAAATATTTTCCTGTAAGTTACTTTCAATAGCTATTTGGTATCCCATTGTATCAAAATACTAATATGTATTTAACCATTCATTATTGGCCTACATTCTTTTTTGGCCTTTTTTTTTTTGCTATAATCAATATCTTGTAAGGAAAATTCTTATAGCCATATCTTTGTAATTTTTTGGTACAAATTTTTAGAAGTGAAATGATCAGAGGATATAGTTATTTTTAAGGCCAGCCATACTCTACAAAGATGATCAATTTACACTTGCCATAAATTTAAAATAATGTTTGGTATCTTCATACATGTATTACATACAAAAAAACTTTCGCCAGTTCAACACTGAATATGATATTTTGTATTTTTAATTTGTATTTCTTTGATCACCATGCAAAGTTAAACCATGTCCAGGCACTTAATAATTATTTGTTGAATGATAATATTCTTATTCCAGCAGGCTGCCATTGTTAAGATATTTTTCAAACTGATTTAAAAATTTCTTTCAGAGTCTGAGTACATTTTCATTACAGTATGTTCAGAAGGAAAAAAAATCTACATTCATTTAACAAAAAAATTCTGGTTGAATCAGCTGAACAAATTTAATTCATTTGCTCTTATATTTACTACTTATTCAAAGTTATAAAATCTAAGCTTATGCCATAAAATAATTTTTCTTTTCTTTTTTAAATTGATATAGTTGCTGTACAATTAAAGCAATTTTTAAAGTCATGTTTAAATGCAATTTGGTAAGACTTTTTCAAGATAAAATAGTTTTATCACGTAACGAGGGTACCCTTTCCTATGCTCCTTTGTTATCTATCAAATGTCTGGGAGATACTTGGCAACAATGAGTGGATCCACTTTTTTCTTGTTTCAAGGAATGATGTGTGACCTAAGTCATGGCAGACATTTGTCAGATGTTTATTGAATATTTGGATTAATGTTTAGTTAAGTAAGTAAAGCCAATGAACTACTGTATGAAATGTTTGTAGTTTTCCTTTGTACTTTGTTTCAAGGAACTACTCCCTTCCCATGTGGTTCTGGGGAGCTGTCAGTCATGGCATCTCGAAAGCAACACACCACAGCAACTGGGAGGGTTCTGGGGCACCTGCATTTTAATCTTGAGTTTGCTATTTACTAGGTATGGGACTGGGGCAGGTTGCCTAAGCTTTCTGTATACTTCACTTTCCTTATCTATGAAATGGGGAAAATACTAGTAACTACCTCAGAAGTGTGTTGTGTGAATGAAATGATTTGATACATATAAGAGGCTTAGAATGGTGGCTGCATATAGTAAATGCTGAGCCACCATTAACTATTATTATTAGATAGTATTTTCCTATGGCCATTGGTCATTTGGCCCAGGCCTAAATGTTCCTAAATTCCATCCACAGTGGCTGTGATTTTCTAGGAAGAGCATGACCTTATCAGAACCATTCAGAATCCCTTTAGGTACTCAACATTAGGAAAAATAAATTCTGTTTCTCTTAGGTTGTAAGGCCTGCCTGGAATGTGTAAGTCTAGGCTAATTTGTGATTCTCTTGCTCAGGAACATGGAAGAAATTTGTCTGCAGTGGGAAAGAATGAAACCATCACAAAGAGATTGACCTTCAAGAGGGATAGATAATGTGTTTGAAAAGGAGAGATGGTATACTTTTGTTTAGCTGGACTTTCAGTTACAGACAACCTTAATTCCATTTCTACCTACACTAGTATATGTTGGGTTTCTGTCATTGCGACCGAAGGAAGCTGACTGGGACAACTGGTGAGGGTGTGGTTCCTATTTAGCTGTTAGTTGGGGTAACAGAGAATACTTCTGGTTGGGCTTGGTGGAGAGCCTTACTCAAGAGAAAAAAACTAAGGCCCGAGAGAGAAGGTTGTGAAAGTTTCTCACAGCTCTTCCGCCTTGCACCTGAATTTGTTGCTTTGTACATGCGTGTAACTGACCACAAAGCAATCCTTAACACCCAGGAAGCCAGGTGAAGTCTGCTTCCACTTTTGCTGGCATTGATAGTTGGGACCTACTGAGCAAAGGCATTCTCTAATGACTTTTTTGGGAGTAAGTTCTGTCAAAGTATAATATATATATATAGAAAAGTATACAAACTGCTGTGAA